CTGGTTGCACATTACACTTAAAACACCCACTAAGCCTCAGCTGTCTGTGCAGTATACAACAACAACCACCTACACGTTCTTTTTCCAGCCACTGCCAGTTCCTTTCTCCTCATGTGTTCTTATAGCTCTCCCCGTCCTTTTTCAATCAAGTGTGTTTGAAACTCTTACATGGATACATGCATGTGTTGGAAAAAGGATGTGAGACGCAACTATGGTCAAGTGTTAGTGCGCTGCGCAACAGCTGCTCACACACACACACACACACACACAAACACTCATCGACATATATGGTGAATCCTCTGTCCGGAAGTGAGACTGCCTGTCTTCCTACAGGAACAAGGCTGTTTCATGTCTGTGTGTGACCGTCTGCATTTTAGCTGGCCTGAAGTTGCCAGTCTCACAGTGAGTCACTCTCCAGGGCCTTGAGGGGAGGATTGGACTTGGTGTGTGGACACTCCAGCTTTCTGTGGCTGCACTTGACTGTCTGAGCATGTTTGTCTTTGTCTGCGCTCTTGATGACAGTGCGCTCTTGACTTGTTGCATTTATCAGCTCACAATAGACATATTCGGCAGCTGTATACAGCAATTATCTGCAGGAGACCAAACAGCTTCTGTCGCGTCAGTTCAGAGGCACCAGAGCTCTTTTGTGTGAAGCTTTGTTTTTCTTTACAGATGCTTATTGATTCAGAGCAGTTTGAATCAACAGTTAAGAATGACCTTGAATCTATGTGTGTCGACTGGTTCAAGGTGTCCTGTTCTCAGAGTATTTGCATGCTAAACGTTTCTAACCAAAGCTGGAACAGCTCCAATGACTGGACGAGGCTTCAGAAATGACCGGAGGCCCAGAGCACACGCTGCTCAGAGGACTTTTTCATTTAGAAAGGTCAATGAATAGAAACTGAAAAACTGTCAGTTCCTGTTTTAATCTCATGTCTGGATGAATTACACTGACATAAAAATGCAGCAAATTGGAGAAGTTAAAACGATCTTTTCACTTTGGAAAAAACAAATGGATGTGATCATTTAATTAATCAAATAAAATATTTAGCATTTGTTTTCCTGTCAGTGTCGACTAATCATTTCAGTCCTCTTTGGCAATCACACAAAGACATTAACGATGCAAAACACGCCTTGTTTCCATCTTCTGGGAATTAAAGTATTTCAGTCATACTCATCTCTGGCTCTTGTCCCAGGTCTGCACATGGGGGCGGGCAAGAGCAAGCCCAAGGAGCCAGGCCAGCGCTCCATGAGCCTGGATGGCACCATCGGCACAGGCTCAGACAGCGGACGTTTCCACCACCTGGGCCCCTCCCAGCAGACACAAACCCCCAACAGGAGCCCTGCGGTCGGAACGGGCAGGAGGGGGCATCAAGGGCAGCACCAGCACGCACCAACAAACACTCCTGAGCTGGCTCTTTTCGGAGGGGTGGACCACACAGGTACCATCACCTCGCCTCAGAGGGGACCTCTGTCAGGTAAGGGGCATGTTGTGAGATTGGTTAAGTGTGGATATACTGAAGAAAATAGCTGTTCTAGTTTTGAATTTCACTTTTTTAGGTAACCCCTCCAATGAAAATCAAGTTTTTAGACATGTTTAAAATGTCTTTTATATAAAAAATAAAAAAAACATATTTTGTTGATTCAAACAACAAGTGTTTGTGATGTCACAAACCTATGAAACCAATCCTGTTAACTTTTGGTCAGAGCTCAGTGGCAGGAAAGACTCCTCAACAGCTGTGAGGGTAGACAGATGGGGGAGTCAGGGCACAGCACATAGTGATAATTATAACTTTATTTATACAGCACCTTTTAAAACAGCCATTACAAAGTGATTCATATATTCATAGTTCCCAGTAAGAAATGAGTAAGGAAGGTTCAGAACATTTGAACAATTTTAGGCCATGAGGGGAATTTTTTTGGTGACAAACTGTTTCAATATGTCATATTGAGGAACAAACAGTGGGACTTTAAACAGTGACAATGCTCTTTAAAAGAATAGTTTCACATTTTGGAAGGTATATTTGTGTGTGCTTTTTTTGTTGAGAGTCAGATGAGAAGAAACCACTGTCATGACTGTGTGGTAAATAAGAAGCCATAGCAACCAGTGAATTGTTTTTTTACCTTTAGACAGAGGCAGGCGAGTCCTTTAAATTCCCAGTCACTTTGTGCTGAGCTGGTAACTGGCTCCTGCTTCATCTAACAGATGTGGGATCTAACAGATGTGGTATCAATCTTCTCATTTAACTCTTGGCAAGAAAACTGTTGAGCTGCTTCTTAAGTAACAAATTATAACCAAAGCAATCATGACATATCTCTGAGTCAGACCATCGACTTGCTTTCAGTTAGAAAATAAATCCAAAACAAGGATTCACAGTGAGTTACATTATCAGAGAACAATATCTGAAAGTTGTTTCTTTTTTCCGACCATCAGCCGTCAAACAGACTTTAAACCTCCTTTTGGACTTTGAAGTCCGTTAGCTCTAATGTGTCTAGACCGGCCAGATGGTTGAGGTTAATGTTGCCCCTATCTGGAGAGCGGAGAGGCTGCTGGTGCATCGGCAGCGGCTCTGCTGGCCGCCTCTTCCTGCCGTGCATCTAATGACCCGATCGATGATTAGCTGGAGTGTTCCCAGGTTTAGATCACAGGTTCATTAAAGGGAAGGGCGAGAAAGCTACGCAGAAAATGGAAAACCATTGATATGATGGCTCTGTCCTTCACGGACGATCGGTCACAAGCAAGTCCGAACGTCGATATTTCTCATTAGGCTTTGGCAAATAGTTTATACAGATATGGAGCGGCGGCGAAATAGATTTATAGCGTTACACTGGACAGAGCATATTATTATCAAGGGCCAGACTTGAATTGTAAAAGCTGGATTATGGAAGTTGAATGTGAATAGGACCACAAAAAGGGAAGTTCCATTGACTAAAATTACTTTGTTCCCTAAATATATATATATATATATATATTCCTCCCACGTTTGTGTGTACGTGTGTGTTGTTTCTTGCAGGAGGTGTCACTACATTTGTGGCGTTGTATGACTATGAGTCACGGACAGCGTCTGATCTGACTTTTAGGAAAGGCGACAGGCTGCAGATTGTCAACAACACGTAAGAATCACGTCGTCTGTCTCTTTCTCTCTCTTCTCTCTTTCTCTCTGATGCTTCACAAAAATCAAAATGAGTAGATTTGTCGACGTACATGCGAGTTTTAAGAATCGTGAATGAAAACAGCGGGAGTCAGTCAGTAGCTGTGGAGCAATGCAGACGCCAGAGTCTGATTCTCCCCCGTCTGTTGACAAAAGCAAAGCAGGCACATTCACTGCCATCATCATAATCTCTGAGGCTACATTCCACGCTAGGATTTCATTTGAAAATGCATCGACTCTGCTACAGATTCGCCTGATGACCACACTAAAAACAGAGAAGTTGAGAAACCTGTTTTAGATTGAAAACTCTGGAATAGATCATATACAACACTCAGGACAGTCAGAAACGGAGACATTTACAGCTGGTCTTTTCAGTCATGACGTAGCCTTCACTGATTTATCAGGCTGCTATCACATGGCCCCCTTTCAGAAGAAAACAACCAGCAATGCTCTTGACTCAGATACAAGCGTTGCTGAACCTGTTGTGTCTTCGCTAACAGCTGTTAGATTCTGTATTTAAAAGTGACAGGCGTAGGAGACAAGCTGTTATTCCAGCAACCTGCGACATTTCTGCAACTAACAACCAAATGCTTCCTGTGTCCACCAGCATATATATATACGCATGTACATCTTCAGGCATGCTAGTATGGATGTGGATTAAAACTGATATGGAGCCAAAATTGCTTGTGTGGACAGAAAACGTTTTGGTTTGAAACCAAAGGAAAATAATAGTTGTATGGATGTAGCCTCAGACACTTAATATAACATTTGTTTTAGCAATATTCCCACTCATGTCCCTGAAGAAACAGAACATAGATTTCACTTATAGGAAATTAAAATGATGTGTGCATTTGTTTCCAAGTGAAAATGACCCCCACTTATATCACACATGTTCTTTAAATCAGAACAATGGTTTTGTTTTGTCTTTTCCTCTGCACTCTCTCTGTAACCTGCCATAAGTCTGGTCTGCTGTTTCTTATATACATACAGTGTGGCACTACACAGCAGGGCTGGGAGAACATAATGAATTCATCTTTAATTAATATTACACAATAAACTATATTACAAGGCATGAAAACATAAATAAGTCCAGAAGAAATCCCTCATGATGTGAGGAATTGATCATTCATGCAAAGTAAAGACACTTCTCTTGTGAGATTTTAAGAAATATTATATTATATAATATACTGTAATAAAACTGAAAAGTTAGAAAACCCTGCAATTTGTGCCCCACTGTGTCGTCCCACATCCAGCTCCTCCACTCTCTGCTGCTTTGCCTTGCCGCGTTTCCTTGCTGTGTTTTGATGTGTCTGCTGTGTCTGTTATCTCTCCCCCCTCTCTTTCTCTCTCATGCTTCATGGTTTCTCCTAGGAAAAAGTACAGCTTCAGGTCAGTAATACTTAATGCATAAAAAATATTTTGCAACCTTTTGTTCACAGTCCCGTTGCTGCTGCACGGTTTTGTCTGGTCAGGCTCGTAGTGTTTTGATGAATTATTGAGTGATTCGGTGCATTAATAAATCTGGATATACAGTTCAAAGCCTAAAATGTGGACCGGGGGACCACATGTGGAGTAAAAGGTTGCATGTGTCCATTTCCTCTCTTAACAATCTGTTTTTCTTCACATCACTGTGCTTTAAGGTGTGGAAAGAAATCTGTATTTTGTAAAACACCCATTTTCAAATGTCTCCTTTTTTGTAAAGACAAATGTTTGTCTCCAGTCAAGTACAAACTTTGCTCAGATATAGACTTTCTCACTGAGACGTGTCACATGTCAAATTTTTTTGCATTATTTATCTTAACTTGGCAGATGATTAAACTAAGAAATATTAACAGTATCTCCTGTCAGTTTTCTATTTATTATTGACTGTCTTTGCTCTGTCTCTCTTTCTTTCAGAGAAGGGGACTGGTGGCTCGCTCGCTCCCTAACGACAGGCGAGAGCGGTTATATCCCCAGCAACTACGTGGCTCCATCCGACTCCATCCAAGCAGAAGAGTACATTATCCTCCTCCTTGTTTCACTCTCGCACTTTGTTTTGCAGTTTTTCTTCCCTACAGAGATTTCAAGTCATTTTCAGTGTCAAACCTAAAAGCAGTTTTTCTGACTTGCAGTATGATGACAGACGGATAACAAGGCTCGGTCCAGAAGCGAACACAAATACTATAGAGACACTGTTATCACATATGCTCCGTCCTTTAGAGTCGTCTAAGTGTGTCTCTGCCCGACTGCTCCAGACGCGCAGTAGTAGCTTCTCACTGATCCTATTCTCCGTGGCCCACTTTCGCAGGTGGTATTTTGGGAAGATCACTCGTCGTGATTCCGAGCGACTCCTTCTGAACCTGCAGAACAGAAGAGGAACCTTCCTGGTGCGGGAGAGCGAGACCACGAAAGGTGAGAGGTTCACATCCCGCAGAGTCCACTGTTGTTAACAAGATGGTTATATTAGCTCCTCTGCCTTTCTCACTGTCTGTTCATATTTAATTTTACATTGAAGTTATTTTACCTTCAAACAGCTTCAAAGCTGAGCAGCTACGATCTCTCACGGTCGGTGCAGAACTGAATGAGTCGCTAGTCAGCGGCTAAACTGCCAAAATCAGGCCCAGCCAATTCATGAGAAATAACGAACTTTAGATCAGTTGATTGGCTTCGTCTATATAATGGACACAGGTTTAACCTTTACCATAAATGTTTAAGATGCGTCTTGTAGATCTGCCAGAATCACTGTCGCCTGTCAACAAGAAGGTTTCTGCTTTGCATGTTCTTTCCGTGTCTTTGTGGGTTTTCTCCAGCTTCCTCCCGACGTCCAAAGACGTGCTTATTGGGGTTAGATTAACTGGAGACTCTTAATTGACTGTAGGTGAATGTGAGCGTTTGTTTATCTCTCTATGTTGGACCTGTGATACGCTTGCGACCTGTCCGGGGTGTAGTCTACCTCTCATCCAATATCAGCAGGGATCGGCTCCTGGCTCCCGGCTGACCCTGAGGATACAGATAATGGAAAGATGGAGGTTGTGTATATTTTCAGTGGGAATCAAATTTACAGCTGCAATAAATGGGTCAACTGAAAGACTCTTTTGATAATTTGCTGTTTCAGTCTTTTTTAATGCAAGTATGCCAGTTAATTAAATATCTTATTGTCTGTGACTGCTAGTCGTCACCTACGGGCTCTGAGAAATGGTAAAAGTATTTTTAGCTATTTTTGTAACACATAAAAAAAATCCCGTAGAACAGTTTTTTGTTGCAGCACTAGCTGTAAAATAATGATTGTGTAAAAATATCATGGTGTTAGGAAATACATGCATTTTCATTACACAACATACTTTATAAAAACTGGAACATTTTATTTTGCACTCACAGGAAGTCTTGTCACTTCCTCTGTGTCCCAGGAGCTTTCTCTGCGCAGCGGATGCGATCCTACTTTGAAATGAGTTCTTCAGGGACTTAATTTAACAGGCAGTATTCTCATAATTAAGCCATTTGTTAACTTTCCCACACTGTAGTCTTTGCTCTCTGTGCTTGTGGCAGAGAGTTAGGTCTTTCTTTGAGAGTGAGAGCTGGTCCCTGTGACATAGGTGGACTCAGTAGGGGGTTGTTTTCGGAGGAAGTGTGGAGAAAAAGGGAGAGTGGGGTGGGGGCTTGTGAATGGAGAGGGGTGAATCACTCTGCCAGAACTAGGTCAGCCGAAGAGGGTGCTGGATTTCCCCCCGGCTTTGAGTCTCTCTTCTCTCACCACATACACACACACAAGAGGGGAGGAGAGGCATACAGAGTGGGTAAAGGGGGAGACTTGTAGGAAAGTGGGAGGATCATGGGGGAATAGTAGGAGGTGCTCTGGCAGTAGGAGTGATGGCGAGTGTGTCCTGTATTAGATGTCAATGTATTAGATGAGAGGCTGACAGTGTGATAGATGAGCAGAGGCCTGCAGGCCATATGTTGCTTAAAGTGTTAATATCATATTAGGTCAGGATACAAGAACACTCCCCACTGCTGCTCTCTGATCAGTGGAGGTGAAAACAGTGAATGGAAAAAGTTCACATCAAAAAGTTGCATAATATAAACAGAAAATGTCACAATTCAGAAAAACCAGGTGTAATTGATGTTTAAGCTGCTGGGACAGTTTTGTGGTGATAATGTTGATATCATGCACCTCTGGTTCATATAGTGTCAGTTCAGTGGACACAATCTGTGAAATCTGAGTTTGTTTTCGGGCTGTCTGAACATCTACATGTATCACAATCATTTCTTCAATGTGGGCAAACATTCACTTGGACTTAAAAATGGATTAATACGAATTTGCTGGTCAAATGTCAGGGTCACTTAACCTAGTTATGACTCCAAAGTGCAAAGATTAAATCATTAAATTATGATTTAATGAATTAGATGGTTATTTTTATCTAAAGGGTCGAAGGTAATCTTCATTGTGACATCATATAAACTTTTCTTTCCTTTATTCAACAACAACACAAGATGAGATAATGACCGTTTGTCGTTGGTGGAGGATTACGACCATGAGGCAGTAAAACTACTTCATTTTCCTTCAGTCTGGGATCACATTTTTAAAAGCCACATCTCTACAAGTTAGGTTGTTTTAATCAACTGTAAGGTTTTATTTTCAATCATTACTTTCTGATGGAATATTTTTTGTTTTTAATTTCTTGTTTTTTTAAATAGTTTTCTGTACAAAACAAAGTGATCGAACTTAGTGCAATCAGACATAGCACTTAGGGCCATGCACAAGGACATGAAGTCTAAGCTGAACTTCCAGGTCCCAGAAGGCCTGACCGCCCGGCACAGCTGCTAGGAAACTCCAGAGAGCAGCTGTCGCACAGGCCGAGAAACGACTGCTTTTATTGTTCTAACCTGTCTCCGTCTGTCCTCTTGTCCTCAGGGGCATATTGCCTGTCAGTGCTGGATTATGATAACACCAAAGGCCTGAATGTTAAACATTACAAGATCAGGAAGCTGGATAGCGGCGGTTTCTACATCACGTCCCGCACCCAGTTCACCAGCCTACAGCAGCTAGTCTTCCACTACCGCAGTGAGTAATGAGACACGTGTGCTTTACAGCCGCTCACAAATGTCAATAGCTGTGATGTTTAACCTTTTTACGACACTGCCGCTCTAAACCCGCCCTTTCTCTTTCATTCTCCTCCCTTTTTCAGAGCACTCTGATGGGCTGTGCCACGCTCTCTCAGACGTGTGTCCAGTGGCCAAACCTCAGACCCAGGGACTGGCCAGGGACGCCTGGGAGATCCCCCGCGAGTCGCTCCGCCTCGACCTTAAACTGGGACAGGGCTGCTTTGGAGAAGTCTGGATGGGTTCGTGCTAAAACACTTTCCTCTTCCTAAGGGAATTAAATAAACCCATCGAATACATTGAATGTACAAAACAAAAAGATGGATTTCACTTTCCAATTAATTATCAATCAATCAACTTTTATTTGTATAACCCACATTCACAAATCACAATTTGTCTCATAGTGACATCCTCTGTTCTTAACCCTCAACAAGAGTAAGGAAAAACTTCCAAAGAAACCCTATTAACAGGGGAATAAAAAAATTAAATAAAAAACTGTAGAAACCACATGTGAGGGATCCCTCCCCGTGGACAGACAGACTATTCTTAAAGTGTATTATTGAGGTAAATCTTTGTAAAGGCGAAAATACCTTAAATTAAATAAATGGTTTGATATTTAGGATAATTTCCTAAAAGATTGTTTTATTAAATATGAAGCTATAATGAGAACTGCATAGTACTAGCTCCTCTAATGATCACTAATAAAAGCATTTGTATTAACCTTTGAACTGTTTATTGCTTTTGAACAGATTAAATAAGATAAGATAACATATTAATACCACTGGACACAGCCAGGCTAGCTGTTTCCTCCTGTTACCAGTCTTTATGCTGTGCTAAACCGACCAGAGGTTTATTGTATGAAAGGGCAAATTTGAGGATGGTATCAAACTCTCCCTTTAATTCTATATTATGACATGAACTTAAAAACACTGTTTCCTCACAGGTACGTGGAACGGTACGACGCGAGTAGCCATCAAGACCCTGAAGCCCGGCACCATGTCTCCGGAGGCCTTTCTTCAGGAAGCACAGGTCATGAAGAAGCTGCGGCACGAGAAGTTGGTCCAACTGTACGCTGTGGTGTCTGAGGAGCCCATCTACATTGTGACAGAGTACATGAGCCAAGGTAATACAGAATTCAGTGGTGCTAACATATCTGGTTTTGTAGCATAACATGTTCTTAATACTGTGATTGTGGTCGTGCATCCACAGGGAGCTTATTGGACTTCCTTAAAGGGGAAGCAGGGAAGATGCTCCGTCTGCCTCAGCTGGTAGACATGTCCGCTCAGGTAAACTACACAAGCTTCTGTCACGTTATACTTTATTGTGCTCTGCCCCTTAAAACCACCCAGAATTCACACACGAAGATACTCAATATTATTATTATTAATATAAAATCTCTCTCCTTGCTCGGCCCGTACAGATTGCTGCGGGCATGGCGTACGTGGAGAGGATGAACTATGTCCATAGAGATTTGCGCGCCGCCAACATCCTGGTGGGAGACAACCTGGTGTGTAAAGTGGCCGACTTCGGTCTGGCAAGACTCATCGAGGACAATGAGTACACCGCAAGACAGGGTGAGTCCACGCTGCCTCTTTCCACAGAGGATCAGTTTAAGTTTCTGTGAATACGAAACTGAAAAGGCACATGGGAGAAAATCTAAACTGACAATGATCGTTGATACTACACACACACAGAACGTTTGGTGATAGATGAAGAATGATAAGGAATTGGAAATCTAAACATCTTTATTCTGCAGCATGTTGCATTTAAACTTTACTCACTTTTTTATTGTTTTTTTTAATTTTGACTCGTCAGGTGCCAAGTTCCCAATCAAATGGACGGCACCAGAGGCAGCTCTGTACGGTCGCTTCACCATCAAGTCAGACGTCTGGTCCTTTGGTGTGCTGCTCACAGAGCTGGCAACTAAAGGCAGAGTCCCCTATCCAGGTAACGTGTCCACGAAGCAACATTTTTTTGTCTTATGTGATTGTAGAATATTTCTGAGTTTTGTTTTACAGTTTGAAGACATCATCTTGGGCTTTTTCACTGTTTTCTGATTATAGATGGGAAAAGATCAATAAATGTATCATTTATGAAGACTGTTAACTGCAGCTCTAAAAATGACAAACTACAGAATGGATCATTCAATATTTATATTTATAAATTATAAACCGTTTTTTGCCACAAAATCAATATTTTGATTTTGCTCATTTCATCCATCAAATGTTCTCATTTAAATCACAGATTTTATTTTTAAAGAATAGGTTCTGTCTTCCTCTAAATCTCACTTCCTGTTCCTTTCGGTAGGAATGGTGAACCGCGAGGTGCTGGACCAGGTGGAGCGCGGCTACAGGATGCCCTGCCCGGCAGAGTGTCCCAGCTCCTTACACGAGCTCATGCTCTCCTGCTGGAGGAAGGACCCGGAGGAGAGGCCTACGTTCGAGTACCTGCAGGGCTTCCTAGAGGACTACTTCACCTCCACAGAACCCCAGTATCAGCCTGGGGAGAACCTATAGAACCACACACTGAACCGAATCCTAGGGGGGGGGGGGAAATCTCCACACCGAACGATCTGCACTAACCGACCTCAGAGAAAAGCCTGTGAGAGGATCCGAGACTGTGAAACTCATCTGGGAGGAACTTGAGATTCTTCTGTGGAAGCAACCAAGAGAAGCACTGACAGAACATCCCCCCCGTGCTGCTGCAGAAGAACCTAGAGAACCTCCTTCCTGAAAGCACTCACTGTTTACTTTAGGTTCTCCTGTAGCTGTAAGAGGAGCACTCCTGCTGGACAAAGCTGCGGCTCTGATTCGATTGAGGGACTACACTTGCGGTTACGTGTTTTTTTGTTTTTTTTTGATGGTGCCACTGATGTGGGAGGAACCGAATCAGGACAGAGCTAGAGGGGGAAAGGAAGAAGCCCCCTGCTGAAGAGAGAAGGCCATGGGAGGATATTTCTGCCGAGCATGAGCTGGTCAACTACACCTCCCTCTTTCGCTCTTCTGTCTTCTTACCCTCGTCTGGTCCCGTCTCCCCCCACAGAAGAGCACTGCCACTGAGGCTCAGGTGCCAAAGGAAAGTCAGTCTCTCTTATCTCCTTTCTGCCTCTTTCTATTTCTGTCTGACTTTCAGTATCTCTCTCCAGTTTTCTCAAGTGCTGCTTCTTCAAAGTGTCTCCAAATAACTCAGCTCTGGAACTCTTCTTTGCATCTTTATTTATGTTTACTTGGATAATTAACGTCCTGGTTTCACGTGTTGGTCAGTAGCAGATTAAAGTTCCTGTTTTCTCTTTATTTTCCTCTGATTATGAATAGAGGAGTTTGTTAGAGCCACTATCACGGTAGTTCCAGGATACATGTACTCTACAGGCAGGTTCTGTTACGCTGAAAATTGGTTTAAATTTCAATAAAACTTTGGGTCTTTATCTCTCGTTCACTCCATGTTTTTCTTTGACGCGTGCTGAACAGGTGTTGTTGCCTGCTGGATCCAAACCACGGTGATTAAAATCGACTTTTGATGCAGGTAGCATTTGAATGCATGTCGTTCGTTGATTTTGATTTAACTGGAACCTTTCTTCGGAAATAATCGGCACTGTTGTGTTGGCGGTGCAGAGCGGTTTTTAACGGATACCAGCTCATTTCCTCGGAGGCGTAAATCGGGCGTCAAACATTCATGTGACCCACTAAGATGCTGACATCGCCACCAAACCGATCCTATTATTAGACTTGGCTCAAGACGGGAAAACCCTGAGAGTAAAAGCCTGCTGTGTTCTGTGCCAAACGAATCATTTCTTTACTGCTGTCTGTGTATATACTGGTTTACAATCAACAGGCTTTGGGTTTTTAAACTTTGCTCCATTTCCCCAGGAAACGTTGTGTTAGTGAGCGAACAGGACGGATCAACCTGTTACTGTTCACTGTAAGGTTTTTAGTTCACTTCCCAGTGTTACATCCAAGGAAATATGCAACCAGGCGGCCCCCAATGAAACTGTAAAACTTTAATCAGGTAACCCTAATAAAAACTGTGTTTATGACTTGCTATGAGAGTTGATTTTGAAACCAGTTAGCATGCTTTTGTGCTGTTTTTTCTCTTGACCACTGGCTGGGTTTGTATTTATGCTGTAATGTACATCAACATGTGTATGTTTCCTTTATCTCAAGGTTCAGGTGAGGTGAGCAGATCATATAAACAGACTTAGGAACATTTTTGCCATCAACTTCCAATTTAATTTTTATTGATATCCACTGCTGCCAGTTCTCACTCATACTGTACATACTGTAGCTCTTTAAGGTTGATTTTTCATGTAAGCCACTTTCAAATGGCAGACATTTACGTTGAGTGTCACACATTTCATGGTGGTTTGGTTTTATGACGTAGTTGATACAGTAACAGTAGATTTGATTATAGAGTATTACCAACAAATACTATTAAAACACATGAGTCATGCAGCAATAAGAGAGAGGATGGCCCACGTCCAAAAAACCCTGAAGCGATGAAAGATGACGGACATTAATCAGTAACGTGTTTGACTCTGAAACCACAATGAAAAAGTGAGTTTGGGCTGTTTTACAAAATGAAAAATGAAGTCAAAGATGTAAATAGTATCTTAAATGACTGTGACGATCATGTTATTTGTTTTTGTACAGTTTTTCTTTAATTGCACCTCCACGCTGATGTTTTTTTACAGCGACGCACGCCTGCTCCCAAAATGTTTTCATAAGAAGACGCGATTTTAAATGAGGCTTATGGAATGTTTGAATTTTTTTTCAAATATTGGACTTAATAGAAAATCATATTCTGTTTAAAATCTCTATATCTGCAAAAAGACAATTTAAAATTGGGCTTGACTCACATGTTTCTAATAATCTAATGATAAGTGCTTTCCTCTTTTGAATTGGGAACCCCCCTCTTTATTCCAATGCACTGAACCGCCTGTAAGTCACTGGGACAATGTGGAAGTGGACGGACTCATGACAAATATGAGTAGCCAAGGTTTGATTGTGCCATATTTAAATGTCTCGGCCTTTTCTTTTTGGTTGTTTTTTTATAAATCTATGCAGTTTGGTCTGATCTTGCAATTTTATGGCCATTTTGTTCTTAAGTCAAAAACAATGATAGTAAACAGAAGGTGAGCATTTTGTAAGAACTTTTGTCTTTTTTTTCTGATGTAACGGGATTGAAATGGGTATCGTGCCACTTTATGTTGATCTTATGTTGTGCAATAAATTATATTTCAAATGTGTTTTGATAAGAGTGTGTGCTGGTGTGTGTGCTGTCCTTCAACAACATCACACGTCCACAGGTATGAGTCACGTCTCAACCAGCACGTTGCACCACGTGTTTAGAAAAGTGACGAGAGCATCGCCGCTCCACTTTACTAGAATTATTAAGACTCTCAAAGGCAGAATTTCAAGAAGTCAAATTAAATCTAATGAAATATATGCTAAATATTCTGAAGAAAACTGTTGCTGAAAAGTTGAAATACTCAGAGAAGTTAAGATTGTAGTTGAAGGAAAAAAGTTGAAAATATGAAAACTAAAAAATTTGTGGAGACTGAAACAAAATGATCTCAGCGTCAAGTGGAAGTCATGAGAGCTGAGCACAATTTTTTGTTGTTGTGTCAAAGTGAAGAACTGAAACCTGAAATGGTTTGAAGTGTCAGTCAAAGTGAAAACAATCAGAGAAGTTGAAATGTGAGTTTTCTTTCAACATGTGATGGATCATCATTGTTTAGTTGCCTGGGTTACTGGGATATTAAGGGAAAAGTTCACGAATGAAATCAATTTCTTCTTTATATCAGATTAGGACAATAAATATGATAATTTACTAACTTCTAGTTTTATCTTCTAATTTCAGATACTGAATGAAGGTTAGCTCACAGTGTAAACACCAGCGAAAGTTATCAAAGACCAGGACTGTGTCATTATATCCATGACGTACTCTGATTTCTTATTTATGTTTAAATACAACAGTTGCACGAGGCTTCACAACATCGGGGGCCTGGATCAGTTGACTGGACAATACATCAGCCACATTTTGATGAAGGGTGTGACGGTCAGGCCTCGGCCTCACTTGCAGTGGCTGAGGTGTTGTTGCCCACATGGGGGCAGTATTTGTCAGGAGTACTGAGGACACTGTGGAGGAAGAGGGAGAGGCCAAGTTCAGCCTCAGACCAGCAGGAGCAGCGGCAACAGATTTGAGCCCACCTGCTGCGGCAGCCTCCACTAAACAACCCTGACCTTTGCTGGTGATTTACTGAAAGTGTGATGGATGATGACCAGTGACACATTTTTCACAAACTCTCTCTCATGACACCAGGCTCTAGTTTAAAGTTCATTAAATACGGATGACCTCACTGGCACATTGTTCCCTCTCTCTCTGCTGCTTCATGTAAAAATAACTGCTGCTGTTAATTGATTACAGATGAGTTCTGCCTGCTATTGGCTTGAATCAGACGCTGCGCTGAGCCAATCGGCAGCTGACGTTTCCCCAACTAATGAGGAGCTGCTCTTTCCTGCGCTTTGTGCTTTGCTGTGATCAGGAGCAAAAATATATCAGTTGATAAAGTGTTTGATTTCCAACAAGACAAAGTCTGTGTTAATGAGCAGCGTGTTGATCTAGTACCTGTGCCAAATTGCAATTAATTGGTGCCCAAAAAGATCAATTAATTACCGTGTTCATGCAGAGCCTGGGTGTTCATGTCCATGGAAATGTGTGTGTGTGTGTGTGTGTGTGTGTGTGTGTGTGTGTTGTTTTTCCCATCTGCTGAGCTGCAGCACGAGTCATTTATCTCAGTTATCCAGACAGTGTCAGAGCTCCATCTGTGAAAACAGTAAACACACTGACTCACACTCACTAAGTGACTGCCATTGATACTAGACAAGAAAGTAATGTAGATACACACAAGAATATAGTGTGTCTGCATGTACACACACACACACACACACACACACACACACACAGACACATGCCGAGAGCTACAGTTACTGTTTGTTTTCATCTCATTACAGTGACAGGAGCATGGCAACCCCGGAGAGAAGTTGGATAATAGTGGTGTTTTGTTTTTCTTTTTTTCCCTCCACTAATGGTGCAGGTTGCCCTTCTCTTTCAAACGATCCCTGGCACACAGTCAGAGCAGAAGAAGATATCAGAGCCATTTGCTGCTAAATGACCCAGAACTGTGAAATGATGGTTTTGGCCAAGTTTCTGTTTCTTATTTCCAGCGTCGTGACTGTCAATCATCGACATTCACAGGAAAATCATTAGTAAACAGTTTTCTCAGCAGCAGACTGGTCTTCCTGTTTCGTCAATTTTGATAGACTGGTGGCTGATGGTGAAAAGGCAACAGAAATCAAAACAAAAAGAAAGTTAAAGATTAAATTCAACACCCTCTGGTGAAATGATGGGAATGAAGGGAATACAATGGAGGTTGCACCAATGTCAATGTGCAAAATAAAAGCACAGAAGAAACATCAAAAGAATATTTAAAACATACACGTGTGAGATCAGATGCAAACGAACAATAACTACTGATAAGTTCACAACTTAACAAAGAGATATCAGATATTGAAACACACATTTTCTGGCCAATGAGTCGGTGAATAAACCTTAACAGAAAACAGAAGTGAGATAAAAGACCCCAGCGTTTTTCTGTGAGCCAACAATATATTTATTTTGCTATTAATAGTGATTTGAGATCTTCATCAGCAACTGTCGACTTCACCAGTGTTCTGGCTCACGAGTCGTCAGATTGATCCAGAAGAAACAGACAGAAGTACAGCAGGGTTATGGTTTCAATAGCACCAGATTTCAATTTTAAGAATCCTTCTGGAATAATAAAAACATGATGAAGTTGTAATATTACACGAACAAATATTACTGGTCTGGAAACAGAAAGTATCGCACTTATGTAAATACAGAGGCCCTGCACTTGTACTAGAGTATTTCCATTTTCCTCCGCTTTAAACTCTTAACACTTTTGCAATTTTACACACTTACACTGGATCTCATAGGGGAATTTTGTGCTATTTTCTTTTTGTTTAATATATTTTTCACAAATGTTTTTATACTATAAACACAGACCCTTAAGAAATCTGATTGTTTTTGTCTTGATGCATCAATGACAATAAAATTAATCTCCAAAAGTAGCAATTCTGTTGTTTTGGTGCAGCTTGGTTGGATCTGTTGAGCCTACTGCCGTTGTAGTTTGTTCAGTGGAACCCCTGGATGTTGAGTGCAGATCCAGATCAGGTCCTGGATCCAGGAATATTTTACATTTTCACTGAGTTCAGGGAATAATTCATGGATCTTGATAAAAAAGAATGTTTGTGCAACTTGGCTCTGATCTAAATTAAATTCTTCATTTGTCAGATTTAAATGTAGTTTCATGTTCTGCAATGAAGATTAGGATTTTATGATTTCCATCGTTTTATTGGAGTAGCTGCATGGCTGGATTGAATTTAAAGAGACTTCTGAGCCTTGGTGGAGGTCGGCGCTCCACTGAGTCTAGTTAACTCTGATACCGTCCTTTTTCACTTCTTCAGACCAATTTCTCATCCTTGCCTCTAACCAGACAATTCTTCTTTCTGTTCCTTCTCTGTCTCTGTCTGCACTCTCTTTCTTCTCCTCTGCTTGAAGGCAAGAGTCTGCAAAACGACCCACATGTTCTCCATCATCAACCAACTTCAAACACAGAGGATCACTCAGCTACGTGTACCTACAATCCTTTCAGTTTCCTCTGTGCTCTGCTGCAGCTAATGACTCTCACAGACTCTGGAGGATATACGGTGCACGGCTCGTGAAGAGAAACACAAGATTCTTTTTTTGATATCAGAGGATGAACAGGTGTGCAGACTTTAATCAGTCTTCCTTTGTTGCGAAATGCAGCGCAGTGTTGATAGAGATGTTTGGAGCCATGATTGTCAGACAGTTTCGCTGCCAAGTTGCCACAGGTTATGGAGCTCTCCGTGGCACAAGTTTGCCCTTGTAGCTATTACTGATTTCAGCCGCCCTGGCAGGAGGAATTACGTCAGCGGCTCAGTCCTGACTTGCAGGTGAGAGCAGTGCTGGGACAGTTTTGATACGCACGAAAACCTGTGCATACATCATCAAGAGACCTGAAAATATGCCCCATGTTTTCCACTGTTTTGAAGTCAGAACAAGAAGAGGATTTAGTCTCTCTGCAGCGTGGACACATGCTATTCATTCATGTGTACACACTTGAATGAATAACACAAGTAATTCTCAATTGATTTGAAACATCAGTGAACATTTTCCTAAGAAGTTTATTTTCTCAATTAATAGATTCACTTTCTTCTTTAATACAGCATGATGTTCATTTTGTAAATCATGGTGCCATTTAGTGTCAAATAGACGATAAAGCACATTGTACATCAGGGCATGGATACCGTGTGATTGACAACTACTTCTGTCCAATGGGTGCAGGTTGCAGGTGTAGGTGGGTGTACGTGTTAGTCTGGATAGACAGAATCTGAGATCTTTGAAAACGGGGACAAAGATACAACCTCTTGCCAAGTTGGTCTTTTTAATTCACGATGTAGCCTTCCTTTCATCAGGCTCCTGTCACATGACCCTTTTAAAATGTAGTAATTTGGGTGTAGCCTAAGATAATAGATGTGTTAGATGTTATAGCTGAAGATCAGCATGTTAGCTAGCATTGCTGTAGAGTCTGTCTTTCTTTACTTCTTTTGGAATTTCTGTCTTTGTTTCTTCTCACTCTCCTCGGACTTTTCTCCCTGCTCGTCAATCCTCCCTCCCCTTGTCAGCTCTCCTCCTCTTACAAACACTTTGTCACATTTCCCCCTCTTACTTCCATCCCCCCTCACTTATCACCGCACCCACACTCTACCTGTCTCTTCTGTCTTTCTTTATCTCCTTCCCTCTTCTCCCATCCCTTTCCCTTGATTCTAACATCTTGCTGCTACATTCATGTTTCGGACCTCGCTGAGACCTTCCTCTCCCCCTCGTCCGCTCCCCGCCCCGCTGTTATCCATCATCCTCTATTGGTCTATTCATCACTTAGCCAGGACGCTATTGGTTCATTCATCAAGCGTCCAGCAGCTGAAGACAGCAACCAGCTAGGGCCAGGAATGCGTAACCTCAGAGTTCGGTCCCTAATGTTGCACAGCACTTGAAACTGTGCAGTGAGTATCCAGGGAAATTTTCCCAGAGGCCAGACCACTTTGATGGAGACTATTATAAAGTGCTCAATATTTAGAAATA